TGCATCAGGCAGCCAGCGACATTCGTGCACTTGTCTTTCGGACGTACAAGTACGAGCCGCTTGAGGTGCAGCAGGCCGCTCGCAGCCAGGTCCCGGCCGAGACTGGGAAAGTAGTAGTGACCACCAACTTCGTCGTCACTGATGGAGCAGAACACCTGCAGCTCCCACAGTGACGAGGCGTGCGCGCGGACCAGCGAGAGCATGGTGGGCTTGTGGTGAGTGCTGAGGCACACGCGCAGCCAGCGCAGTGTCCCGTACTGTGAGGGAGGGAAGGTTACATTGGGACCAAGGTAACCCCACACCGTTAGGGTCTGCAGGGCGGGCATGCGCTGCACACTGCGCAGCTGACGCTCGCTTGGAGTTTCTATTCTGAGCTCTTCCAGCTGCAACGGCAGGTCCGGGTAGTCGTCACACTTCTGAACGCTTTCGACGTCTAGCCGTTTGAGTGAAGACAGTTTGAGCACCTCCTCCATGAACTTCGGTTCTACCTGCCCCGAGCACTCGAGCTCCTCGAGGTGCACAGGGTGCACCGGGTGCGACGCCAGGACACGCAGTAGTTTATCCGAGCTCTTGCCCTTCAAGCCCTTTATGCAGCGAGTATCTTTCCATCGCTGTTTGTCGCGTACGATACCATTCAATTTTAAATCACCTTCCGAGAGATCTTTGTCTGTTATGGTCAGGGTGGTTGTCATTGGTGGCCCCACGTAAGCGGCTGGGGACGAGGGGACAGCGACGTCATCAACCTGGAAAATACATTAAATAAATAAGCAACAGACCGAGCACCAAGCCGAAATCAACAGAGATGGCCGTCCTGGCTGATGGCTTACCTTGGCCAGCTGGCCGTCCGCGCGCAGCTGCAGCAACAGAAGGCGGAAGATGTCGCCGAACCCACCGAGCTGCACGTCGGCCTTCAAGGTGGATCCGTCCTCTTCCTCCGTGACGATGCTGCACTTGTTGGTGGTGAGCAGGCGGAGGCTGTCCTCCAGCTGCGCGGCCAGCTGCAGCTGCTCCTGCGAGGTGCGCCTATCCCCTGACGTACTCCGCTGCACCTGTTGCTCCAGGGCCTCCTCCAGCTGGCGGAGCTGGGCGACGGATGCGTCCAGCTGGCGGTTGAGCGCCTCCACGGCCTTGGGGACCACCACCAGCAGCGCCGCCACCACCTTCCTGCCCGCGTCCACGCCCCGCTGCAGCCGCTGCTGGTCGCTGTCCTCTGTTCGGCACTTCTTGCAGGGTGGGGCGCCACCGGTCTCAATCACTCGGATGACGATGTTGGCGTCGGGGAGG